GTATCTTGAGTGCTTTGAAAATTATTACACGTTTTCTAATTTCAAAAAAAGAAATGGTACAATAGAATAAATGCCTCGTATCATGATTCTCAACCATTGTTGAGCCTCATCTTCACATAAGCTTTTGTCAAAATGACTTTTAAGCAGAACATACTTTCATTAATGACTTGTCTACGACCATTTGGTTCGGTTATGATGACCTTTATTCCGTCAATAGAAACATCAAATCCAGGTGGTAGAAATGTATTAAATGCAATGATTAGATTCGGCCGACCGCGAAACAAACGCGAAACCCGTTTTATTACACCAGGTGTATCAATGCTGAAAATTTGACATGCTGTTTAAAGTACACTCCTAAACAATTATCCAAGCAGTAGGGCCACAAACATCTAATTACTCATTTGTTTATGTGAATTGTAAATATTGCAAGCTTCAGGATTGCTTTCGTGGATGTCAATATACTAATTCTTCTTAGTATTCATGGAAAAATAACTGAAACCTACGCTTGAGATTTGAAATCTTTCATAACATCGAGGAAGTTAACATAGACATCTGGTGCATCCGCAAACTGTTGTTTCACTTGATCTAAATAACATAATGCATCCTCGACGCGCAACCTCTGCAAATAACTCAAAGAAATATTACATGACTGAACTTGTTCATTCACAGAATTCAAAATTGATAAAGATATTAGAAACATACTCTTATGTTTCCACGCATGGTGCCTTCACGTGGCGTTTCAGATCTCTGATTTTGTTGAAATGAACCACTGCCATTTGGCATAATATTTTCACGCCTGAAGGTAAATACAGCTGATCCTTTTGATCTAGTTCATTATCTTTCAAAAAATTTTTTCTTTAACAAGCGAACAGAAAGAGAGCAAAAGATCATTTTATCATTTTAAGACTTGGAAAGCTGATTTAAACCAAAATAATAATGAGAAGACATAAATTATACCGCGCCCTATTTTGACCAAAAATTTTAGTAATTTTCTTTATAGGAAATTATCAGTTATAGAAAAAGTATCAGTTAAATTTAAGAAACTTGAACTGAAATTGCTTGCAAAAAAAAATTTCCCTTCTGAGTGATTGAAGTATCAAACTTCTAATACTTTTAAATCGTGAGCGCTCATCTTAATGCCTCAAATGTTTCTACCGGACAAAAACTTCAAATGTAAAATTAGGCTTGATGCTTTAAATTATATCGTAATTCAACAAATTGTAATCAACATCGCTAGCTAGAACTGTAATTCAAATTATCAAAATTTACTGTATTTTGCCAGCCAGTCAATTTTAACTGTAATAACTCTTTCATAATTAACTCTACCTATTTCTTATAGAAATGGTCCCTCTTCTGAGGACACTTCTTGTCTCAATAAGTAAACGGCATAGTAATAAGAAATGTGCCTAATACTTCAAACTGAATCACCTTCTACAACTAGTTCAGTGACTAAATTTACCAAATTAAAGCAAAATGATGTGAAAGACTTACTGCGATTGCAATGTATCATTTAACATAACATTACTCATAACTGGTATACGAACTGCTGGATTACTTTCACCGTTTATAGCTGACATTTTTCAAAACTTTGTTTCAGGACCACATCAACTGTTTTTCTCTGTAAATAGTAGCAGAGAGTTTTAACTTCAATTTAGTAACAATGCAATAAAATGCAATGCAAAATCATTTAAAACTACTCGTATCCGAAGTCTTGTGAATGTTAAGTCAAGTAATTCTGACAGAATTGTGTATAATAAAGGATATATGTACAGTGTTGATAAAATGGGAGAGTACGAGTAATAATCAAATAAAACTATATATGAAGAACAATGGTTGAATGTTATTCCAGCCATCACGCATTACAAGAGAATTTCAGTACAATTTATAGATACTGTTTCATAAATGAAAAATAAAAATCAAAAAAAGGATCTAATTCCAAAAAAACATACCGTCTAAGCTTGGGTTAAGGTCGCGCATATAGAGACTCGTCACGAATATAAAAGCACACATTTCCAAGGCTTTCTCATAACTTTCTTGACATTTCCAAGACTTGCTCACCACTTCTTTCTACCTCGATGATTCTAAGATATTATGAAGTGAATCTTGGAGGCAGTTATTGTGTAAATTCATTCACACGAGAATTGTGTGGAAATAATATTAATTAGCGACACGAAGTTCAGACCCGAAATTTCATAGACTACGAGGATCCTCAATTCTGATGGTTGACTAGCTAAATATACGCCAAGTCATCATCTTCAGCTAATCTAGAATATTCTGCACGGCCCCTTCTTCAACTGGTATAGCTTTCCTTCATTCCCAAACATACCGCCATTAATAAATACTAATATGCGTGCATCTACTTACCTAATCAATTAACCCACCATTTTAACGAACATCTTCATTCTTCGTTGCTAAATATTGCGTCACTATTTTCCGTAATTTCTGCCACATTTTTTCGAAAATTATTATCCCTAATCTCTTTCAGAGGAACGTAATTCCCCATCTTAAGCGGTGAATTCCACCAATATGAGATAAAAAATTCAATAAGCATAATTTCCTTACCTTCAGATCAATCCTCCTCCCTCTTCCCACTTCTCTCACTTCTCTCAAAACAATCAAACTCGCTGCATTCGATACACTCCGACACGCGACGAACTTTACGAGAAGGATATATCTGGATTCGAATGAAAATTATCATCCCGAGGCTGTTGGTGGATGAGTGCTTTACCGCTTTGTTTTCTGCATAATTGGTACTTTCTGCAATAAATTACTTCTACATAAAAAAGAAATTTAAATAAATTAATATCACCACTCATCCTTCCATTGTTATTTGCAATGTATACAATAAAACTTTCTAAGAAACGTATTTTAATAAAACTTTTTAAGAAATGTATTTTACGATAAAATTGAGGATTTAATTGGAAGAGAAATAATTTTTCGAGGAGATTCGAGAATTGGCATGATGGTAAGGAAATCAGTTGGACTTATGGCATCAAAAGAATTAAAAAGTAGTTTACTTTATTTATCCACTCATTTTCAGCGTATCTTCATGTTTACTTCATCCATTGTATTTTGTTAAAATCAAAATAATTAATTAATCCTTTTTTGCCATGCAAATTGGCGAGATTAGATGTGCGAATAAAATTGAAATCTGTGCAGATATGAAATCACTATTTTGTCATATTTTCAAATTTCATCTAATTCTTAATAAATCCATCTTCAGATAATTTAACTCATTTCCCAAAAATTCTGATATCCAACCATAAAAAGAATTTGTAAAGTAAATTTTCGGCGTATCTCTTTTGATGATGTATTTTTTTTAATTATGACTAGTTCTGTAATGCTTATTATAAAACACCAATTGGAACATGTTTTTCTGTTACATTGTATTGTTCCTACAATTGCCAGTTGTGATGTGTACACCGAGAAATTGCTTCTTTTTATTACTCACATGATATTTTAATTACACTTAGTAGCAGCATAATAATAAAGCATCAGCTTTATGAGTGTCACAAAAAAACAATTGCATAACAAAATGCTGAAATTGAAATAAAGTATTGAATAAACTTGTTTTTCGCATGCATTCAAGCTGATTGTGATAGAGAAGGATGATAAGAAAAATGATTAGTTTGTAAAATTGAACTTGAATGCTCACTTCATATTGATTCGATGATTTTAAGAGAGCAGAGTGGAAAACTTTTAGAAGTTTCAACTTATTGAGGAAAATATTATTGTATTCCAATTGGCTAAATTTGCTAGCTGAAATTTTCGACTATGCAATTAGGGATATATTTGATGAAATGTTACAAAGTTGAAATGCGAAAAGGTCAATGCACGTACATTGAATAATGCATAATGAAAGGACAGGTCAGATGTTTGCGAAGTGTAAAAGTTATAATAGTTGAAACTATAAAAATTTAAGGTTTCTGATGATTATTGATTGATTTTTTTGTAACTTTTATCACTCCTCTGAACAATTTAATTTTGCATTTATGACGAATGGGTGTTTTTGAAGGATATGGAGCTGTTGGACCTTGAACGACCTTTGCATCACAGATCAACGTTGTCGCGCTAACAATCTCCGCCACAGCACTTTTGTCACGACATCATCTTTCGTTTATTTTCCTCATTCCTTTGACGGTATGCAAATGATTAATACGCGGTCCCTCAATTATCAGTGCAAGTTCATGAGTAAAAATGATAGTCGTATGATAGCCGCACCTTAACATCTAAATTTGTCCCTGGAAGAGAGCTAATGCCAAGTACGATTAACATATTATCTTATTTATCTTCTTACAAATGTTTTCCTATCTGCTTAAATAATTCAAATAATTAAACGGGATATAAATATCAGATAATCAAATATTAGATTAGATCTAAATCTACCAGTGTATAGTACCTTGTAGAGCTGAACATTTCTCCTCATCTATATGTTATGTTTTATTTTCCAAGATAAAAACTTGTGTACATTATTAATTGGTTAGAATAAGGTAGGTTGAAATTGACGGATAGTTTAACATAGAACAGACTGGTTGACACGTGATCGTTAGACTTGATTTTGAATAGCTATTGAGATCAATGAACTCCCGTTTTTTATTTCAACTTTCACTCAGTAATGTTGGATATTTACCAAATATCATTTATCACATTTGATATAAAAAAACACTGATGTAAAAGTTCATTTGTGAACCAATTGATGGAACACTTTGGTTTAATCTAATTCAATCAGCTTATACCATCTTTCATACCATTTTCAAACATTTTAACTGAAAATAATTATTTATGAAGGGTGAAGAAAACCATTGGTTCTGGATGATATTTTCCTGCAAGAGAGGTCACTGCACTCATTTAAATTTGTCTGATATTGTTTTAATTGTTGTGCATTGAAGGAAATTAATGTTTTTAATGTGAGTGTAATTCGTTTATTCCAAACATTTCCACTTCGTTTTTTAAAAAAAAATAAATCAGAATGAAGTTCTTTCTTATTTATTCCTTTTTTTATGACTAATTGGCCTAATTCTTTGCCACCATTGTTGCCTCCGAAAACTGTCATTTTGGCATGGAATGCGCAACATTTTTATGTGTCCATGTGGGCGAGCGGAGGCGGTGGTCAAAAGAATTTGAATATGGTTGACGTGGAAGAAGTTGAAAAGTATAAGGAGCACAGAAAGAATAATGTAGAAGGATTAGGAAGGAAGATTTTGTGGAAAAGTGATGATAATGATTCTAGATTTCGTCTAACCCTCTCCCTTATTTCTCGAAAAATTCTGCCGAATTCATTGGAAAAGTTTTACGTAGTCGGTGCACAGTGTTAGACAGGGAAAGAGAGGTTTTTGAACCACCACCTCTACGAATTCATCTTCACTCGATCGGTGCTACTGGTACGATTACCCAGCGTTACAGCCACAGTTCGTCATCATAAAATCATCGCGTCATCGTCACCGTCACCAACCAACAACATTGATGGACCATCGGGTCGGGGGTCGATGTCCTCGCCGATCAGGAAGATAGAGAAGAGGAAGGGGACAATCGCCAGCAGTATCAGCCGCCTTCGTACCAGTCAAATACACAATAATAATGTATCTGGCGGACATATAACAATGTTTTGGCCCTTGTTCCCCTCCATCCCTATTTTAACACTAAAAACTTTTCAAAACTATTTCGACTCCCCCGCCTCTTTCTGTTTTCCCCTTCCTTGTCCTCCCCCCTCTCCCCCGCACGAGGACCACCTCCATCTGCAAAATCAAAGAGAGAGAAGGGTTCTGATAGACCGCTACCATTACCACGGGTTTTAATACTACTCGGGAAAGTCCGCCGTCGCCATCATCATCGTTATCGCCAAATTTGGATAGGGCATCTCCCGACCCGACCTCCTCCTCCATCGTCGACCACTATCTGTCCATCTACTACTACAACTAATAATAATAATACTATTACTACTACTACTACTACTACTACTACTACTGCTACTATTACTACTACTACTACTACTACTGCTACTACTGCTACATTTACAATTGATATTACAATTGTCACTTCCACAACTGGGCTGTGCAGTTAACAACAGAAGGCAAGGCAAATAGATGCACACATTTCCTCATGCATTGGAGGAGATGTATCATCGGATGACGACTACAACTACGACCGCGACCACCTACCTATCTGTACGTTCTGTTTCTCCAATAGCAGGAGCAGCATTCCAGTAGCAACAGTATTTCAACAATCCTCGGTGCCACTGGTATCCGATTCCTAGATGTTGCGGGTGGAAGTTTTATCATCATTCTAACGATTATTGCTAACATAGTTTTTATCACTGCTGCTGTAATCACCGCCACTGTTTCATGGCGTTTATATGGAGGAAGCTAACTAAAGTGGGCCTCCTGCTTTGAACGGTTTTGTGGGTTTTGCATTGGAAAGTGGCAGTTTAGCCGTTATTATTCACTTTAAGCGGTTATCACTTGCTTCCTACCTTCCACCTCTTTTAGCAACGAGAGCTACAAGAAGCAGATAGCCGAAGCACTACCAACAGACGTCCTACTCGACGTCGGTTGGCGCAACGCAAAAAGGACGAAAAAAAAGTGGAAGACGCAAGAGTCGAATTTATTCGGTTCCTTGCTTGGTTGGTTGGTTGGTTGTCTGGTCTAGCGTTGTCGTCGTTGTCGTGGTGGGTACCGAAAACACCCGTCAAACGGCCGTCGTTTGTTGGGGTTGAACTGTCGGAGATTGTCCTTATAATAATCAAACCCATTATCATCGCAGCGTCGGTGTCCCGTTCTCCGGTGTTCTTGCATCTAGTTGGCTGATCAACCTACCGCCGCCCATCGGGGTCCCTGGAAAACGAAGGAAAGAAGAAAGAGACGAAACACGGCAGTTGTTAGTGCTCTACAAAAATGCGAGGTAAGCGGGCTACCAAACCAGGTTTCTGGGTCCCATTCGTATCGTGTCGAACCTCCCCCGCTGCTGCTCCGCTTTTTCAACAGCCGTCACCGAACTTCACCGCATCCCCAGCCTTTCCTACCATGTACCCCGTAAACAATACTAAACCAGAACAAGAGCAATGAGTATAGGAACACCCTTAAACGATAAAACATCTATACATCTCAAGATATACACAAGTACTACTACTATTACTGCTAAATCCAACCCGCTATGCTCCCTATTTTCTGCCCTAGAATCCTAGATTTCTTATGAAACTATCATTTTCAATTTACCTCCTTCTAGGCCACTCTCTTCCTCCAAAATTTTCATGGTACGAAGAACGAAGTTCATTTGAAACTATTATTTCCTATTCAAAAGGGTACCACTAATATCTTTGAAGGGCAAAATTCGTGTAGTAATTTTTAGAATTGTATCGGTTCCATAGAGAAAAGTGATGTCACATAGCATATCGACGAAAAAAGTTTAATCTTTCTAAGTGATGCAAGAAGACTTTAATTACCATTTATTATCTTTCATCCAGAAAAGATTGATTTACTGGTATTGTGACATTTAAAAGCTCTCCAAATAAAATATGCAATACAGTTATTATATTGATGGCGCGCAAATTGCACGCACGCAAGACAATCTGACTGTGATCATGATAAGAAGTGATATGCTATTCGTTGTAATCTATTGATTAGTCTAATGCTTGAATGAATAGAAAAAAAATTCTTGATCGATCTTTCTTTAATATCATTAACTATGCAGTCAGCTTTGTCCAAACTTTATTATTAATATTTTTATTTTTAAACAATAAATGAGCTAATTTACTAACAGCTAAATTGACAAAATATTCATACCTTTTATTTAGTTAATTAACATCAAATGGATGCTTTTTTCATTCTTCTAAATGATAAATTCAAGTTTATATTGCTAAGATTTTTTTGTTTTCGAATTTCATTGAGATGATGAAAGGCGAAGGAGAAGCCATATTCAACTTCATCTGTACCATCATCATCTATTAAATTTCCTTGTAATTCCATCATATGTGAAATTCCCATCAAGTTTTTATATTATTCAATAAGCTATTGTGCGTCTTTTAACAGGTTCAATAATTAAGTTTCGCCAGATTGTTGTTGCCAGAAATTCAAAATTTTGGGGACAATATTTTGACCTTCCTATTGCTGTGAATTCCCATAAACTTATGCTGATCAATAACTGTATTTAAGTGCATGAACCAGGAAATAAACTATTCAGTAGTATTGAAAGAATTGCGTTGATTCAATACAGGCTATGCTGGGGTTCATTTTTCTAAAAACATTTGTTTTCCATGCCTTAACATTCCGTTTTTGAGTTTAATGCCCTTAACTATGTCATTGCTCAGTGTTGCGATTTCAAAATATTTTTTTTCAATTTCAATTTATTCAATTTATAATTATGCTTCAAGTGATTGCAGAATGCCTTAGTGGTTAACAGAAACATTTCAATGTTTCAATGTTAACAATAGAATATATTTGTAATCACAACCTATTAAAAATTTTGCAATATTACTGCTGGTAGTATTAATATTTGAATTATACTTGAATTATACTTTGAATAATATGTCTCAAATTCTATATGAATTACTTAGATAGGTTCTATAATTGATTCTACTGTGATGTAGAAATTTTAAAGAAGTAGGTGTAAATCAAATCATCATATCTATCGTCTAAGAGCAATTCGGAAATTATTAATTTCAAAAATGTTATTCGTCGAATTTTGTAGTGAATAAGAAAATTTTCATTGTTTTTTCTGAACTTTTCCAGCAATTTTTCTGAGGTTAAAAATCAGGCACTAACAGATTTTCATTTTATAAGCGATAGATTTCAAAATTTACAAAAAATGAAATCGAAAAATTCAAGCTGAGACTAATTATTAAAACATGAGAAATCTGAAAATTTCAATTCTTCAAAGAATTTCTCATTTCTATTGAAAATTTCTTGCAGTTTGTAATCTCCTCTTTTTTAGTTCTCTTTATCTTATTATTACCACAGGTAATGCTGATGCCTAAAAATTTTTTATATCTGTAATTAACAAAGTCTAATTGATCGGTAGATAGGTTCCAACTCAATGAAAATTTAAGTTTTATGGCAAAATACGCTAGGTTAACTTAAAATTGATGATAGATTAATTTCATCGAAGTTATGACGAAAATTGAATTCGTATTTTACAGTTCGTTGTATTATCCCTCTTTGAACTGTCGTACAATTAAATGAAATCACTTGATTGATTTTAAAATTGATCTCTTTTATTTTAAGGTAGTTTTAATGAATTCATTCGCTCATTTCATTTATGCAACCTGAATCTATCATGTTAGACAACAAACTGACTCGACTTCATCCTAAATCGGGAATGTGCTTTTTAAAAATTCAAAATTAACAAAAACATATCTGCAACATATCTGCCTCGGGTTATGCTTGGCGAAGAAGACACAACATGGGACCCAGAAATGTTTGAAAAAAATTGAAATCCAGGTTGCAAACAACACTGATTTTGTTTGGTTAGTTTCAGCACAAATTGAAGTGATTCCGTGTAAAGTTTGTGGTGATAAATCCTCTGGAGTGCATTATGGTGTTATTACTTGTGAAGGATGCAAAGTAAGTTAAAAATTATCAATGATTCATTCATTGTTACCATATCTTCAGCGTTCAGCTAATTTGTTAAGAATGATTGGAATTTGAAACATATTGGTCTGTTTTAAAATATTCGTCTTTATTCACTTTAAAAAAGTTTGCTTTCATAAAATTACCAAAATTTTATTGGAAGCTTCCGAAGAAATTGATCATTCTATACTTAAGTTAGTTAATTAGTTAATTAGTTTTCTTAATAATGAGAGTGACAATTACAAAATGTGCATTGAATTTTTTCATTTTCCTCAACAAAATCATTAAAAATTATTATATATAACGAAAATAAAAGTTAAAATATCGAATTTACATTAAATTTCAACATTTTATAAATTTTTATAAAAAAAATGAAATGCTTTTTGGAGAAAAAAACTGTTTTGTTTTGTTTTGTTTTGTTTAATTAATAAGATTAATTATTCTGAATTAAACAATAAAATCATTCATTCATACAAAATGAAATTCTTAAAATTTTTGAAAAAGTTAAAGAAGAAATTAACGCTAATATACAAAAATGCAAAGTAATGAAAGATTTTGAGCATTCATAAAAAAATTATTTCACATCAAAAACTTATTTTATTCCAACTAACTTATTACAATGTGAAATAATATTTCTTCATCAGTAATTTCAATGTTATATTCTTTTTAATTTCTATCTTACAGCACTTTAATATAACAATGTTACCTCCTTACCTTCCCACTTTCAAATTCAAATTTCATAATGCTTATTTCGAAATTTCTTTTAGCCTGACTTATAAAACGAGATTATAAAATTCCCAAAGTTACCGTAACCTATGAAAATTATGAATTATCATCACTGATAATCTGGTGATAAGGACTTGCTGTTATTTTGTTACTCTGTTTGCCTTATTTTATCAGCAAATTTTATTTCATTTTCCTTTTTTGAATTTATGACATATAGAAAAAAAGAGATGGAAAAAAGAAAGGATAGCTATTATAGGGATTTTTTCGGCGTAGTCAATCGACTCTCAACAATTATCAATGTCCCAGGCAACAGAAATGTATCGTTGATCGAGTGAATCGGAATCGATGTCAGTATTGCCGTCTGAAGAAATGTCTGGAACTTGGAATGAGCCGAGATGCGGTGAAATTTGGCCGAATGAGTAAAAAACAACGTGAAAAAGTGGAAGATGAGGTGAAAGTTACATTTCCATTTTTGTCTATGCTTAAAAATTCGATTTTAAACATCTTTGAAGAGAGTTATATAAAATTTTAGATGAGATAAATTTCATTTCACTCATCTTATCAGAAGATTTATTAGAAATAACAAAAAGTATTTATTTCAATTTAACCGAATAATGGATAATTTTAATAATGAACCATAATAGACTTTATAGCAATTTCATTCTAATTAAATTTTTGTCTGAAAATTTCATTTCATAGTATTTCATAGAAATTTTTTTACAACTTTGTTTACTTTCTTAAAAGCATTATCGCTCATTATTCCTTCATTTTTCCATTAATTTTTACAACATTTATGATCGAATTATACCATAGGATAGCGATAAAAAATATATTTTGCTGAAACAAATGCGAACTTCATTGATTTCTTCAATTTAAAGCAATAGCAAAGCCTCTTATTATTTTTAATTGACATTCATAATTAGATAATTTTTCGGATTCAAAATCACACTTTTAAATAGTACAATTGTTATTCAACATATTCAATGCTGTCATCATTGACATGTCAAGGTCATTTTAAAGTGTAGCTATTTCATTTTAGCCCTGTTCCTCTTTCCTATTCTTTCTAATCTTCCCATCTACCTAAAATTTATATAATTAAAATAAACAAAATATTGTTCAATCGTGAAATATTTATTTATCTAATCGGATTAATTACTCATCAATAACAGAAATATTGTTATTATATTTCTCCCCCATAATAATATAAATTTATCCATGGAATTAAAGTTGCATTCTGAAGCGTTCAATATGCAATATCAAACTAACTAACCAAACTTAAAGAAACTATCCATCCTAACATATTTTAATTACTTAATTACGAATTATATTATTATATTGATCATTGATCCTTAAATCTTTACTTACTTTTAGTGTAATCTATATAGTACCGTAAGATAAATAATCATTGTTTATATTACAGGTCAGAATGCACAAACAAATGGCGGAAGTTCAAGGAATTGCATATTCTCCATATGGTGAATATTCGCCTCCTGCTCCCATACATCCACCCGCTGCTTACAGTAATAATTATGAGCCATCTGTGGCTTACGCTGCAAGTTCTTACACAACCAATGCCGCAAGCTATGCTGCAGCTGCACCCGTTAGCTATCCTTCTGTTCAGGGACAAGGTTATTCAATCGCTCAACAGGTAATTTAATCATTTTTATTCCAAATTTAATTTTTATAATTTTAAAAGTTTCTCCTTTTGATTATCTTTTTGTGAATGCGAATTGACAATATTCTTTGGATGGTTTTCGTCATTATCAATATACTCTCCTGATTGTTTAATATTATTACCATATCTATCATTAACAATTGAAACATACTCTAATTATCAATAAACGATTTCAAAAACTTTTCCGCATTTGCAGGCAGCGGTACCTGCTCCTAGTGGTGGATATCCTCAACGTACCGTTGGCGCATCTCAGCCTGATGAAGATTTAATTGCGGGTGTTACAGCTGCATTTGATTCAGCACATGGTCCTCCTACGATTACAACGGCAGATCGATTAGCTGCTTCATCAACAAGTACGTTCACCGAGCAACAGTACCGCAACATGGTAAGTATTCCCGTTATTCTCCGATTCTTTCATGCTAATGATTGCTTGATTAAAATCAATCATTTATAATCTGCTGATAATTTATTCTTCAAACCGTCTGTACGCTAATGATATAAATATTACGCCATTACACATAATTGCTTTATAAAAAACTTACAATATATTGCGCTTAAAAAATGAAGCGAGAATTTCGTAGTATAGGAAATGATATGATATCGCAAGCAAATCAATAAGCATTATTAATAGTTCTTTTCAAGTTTTGTCATAACCCAAAGTATTTGTTAAAATGATAATATGTTTGCAAAGTCATTTGTGACAAATTTCTTTTAATTGGTAAATATTCATTTCATTTGCGAAAGAAATTAAATTCCGCCAATTCTTTCCTAATTTTATTATCAATTATTTTATAGTTTTTATTTCGAATGATTATATTAGTATCAGGAAATTTACTATCAGAAATACTGGTCTGTTTTATCAGTTGATTAGTGAAAGTTAAAATGTTAGTAGAAATTTGATCAATCAATACGAAGATGATCGAAACAAATTGATTTGGCGGCTTACCTTATATCTATTCCATTAGTATGAAATGATTACACATATCTTATTACATTAAACATATTGTAATGCCATTAAATTGATGATACAAATCTTTTGGTTATTTTAATTTAAAAACTAAGTTTGTTAAATACTTGCAATGATAGTTCAGTCAATCCTCGTTTTTAAAGTAATAATTAGTAATCATTAAGTGCTGATTAGTTATAGTTGTAAAGTATCAATTAACAACCAAAAGTCTGAAAATTTTGAAAAACAAATTATTGAAGCAAATACTTCTAACAGCTATTCTATTAAGCAATTATAAATTGGAATTAGTGTTGCAAAATAAGATGTGAAGCGAATTGGATTCGTTTCATAGTATGAGTGCGTAATATAAATGCCTTGCCACTATGAAACCTGTCTTTTCTAGAACTTTTATAATTCCTGTCCTTGCAATAGATTTACTCTTACCGTACATTAGTATGCTCACCTGTATGATGTTCATGTTGTCAGTTATTGGTTTGTATGTTTGTGTCAATTGTGGACTGTCTAGTTTCGGTCATGGACCTGCCTCAATTGAAATGAGATGTCCTTGTATGTCAGCCATCAAGAGATAAAAGAAGTGCAGGAAACTACGGAGCCAAAATAAATGAGATTTCAAGAAATTTCGTAAAACTTTAGAAAAAAAGGAGGAAGAGAATGAGAGGAGAGGGTGGTAGGAATAGCTGTGACATTCGAGAAATTCGGGAGTAATATCCCATTATTGATTCCTTAGTTATTGAATAATATTTCAAAAATTAATGCAAAAATTAGACAATACAAAACAAAAAAAAGAAAAATTAATAATTATCTCACTAAAAAAAAAATTATTTCAAAATTTATCAAATTATTTGGAAATTATTCACAACCCATTGTTTACTATAAATGTGAAAATTCAAATTATCATAACAATGAGTTGATAACAATTGATATTGTGACGTACTCTATTCGGAGTGTGTTGTCTATCATTCCTTGAACGATCAAGCAGTATAATTTGTTGTCAAAATAGTTTGTTCGAATTTAATTAGAAAGAATATCTTGAAATCTCCGAGATCCCGCCAAAAATAAACCCAAAAAAGAGGTAAAGGTTGAAGAATGGAAATGGAAGAATTTACCAAAATTATCAAAAATTTGTTTCGTACAAAAGAACTACCTGGTACAGGAGTGAGTGTTTGCATTGATGGTTTGCATTCTATTCAAAATTCCACTCATTAATTGTCACCTTGAAAGGACAGCAGGAGGTGACCTCTAATAGGATTTCGGATCATAATGAAAGTAATTGCTTATTGAATGTTATCTTAAAAGAAAAAATGAAATCCCGTAACAGCCAAAAAATCAATTTTAATTTTACATCAAAAAATGTAGTGCATCTATCATACACTTACTTCTCTTCAAACATTCAAATTACCTCTTTAAAAAAAATTTTAATTGCAATATGTTTGTTCTTTATTCAAATCATAAATTAATCATTCATTAGTAAAATGGAATATTTTACTATATGATAGAATAAATTTAGAATGAATAATGTTTGATACTAATTCATATTAATGAATGATTAATAATCGATCATTGCCAGTTTTTGAATCTTTTTTCCAGTGTAAATAAAACATATTTAAATTTCTTTAAAAAATCAATTTTTCCATACAACTATTTTATCTTAAATTTTACATTCTTATCACCGCTAATCAGAGTATACGATATGAGCAGCCAAGTTTTCATTCACTGTCTCTATGCTATTGAATCAAAATGTATTAGCCTACTTTTTTACTTATATTATTGCAAAGTTTTTTTTGGACAGATATATTTTGCAATTAAAACTTTAGAACAGGTTCGATGCATGGAAGAAATTTGCGGCAGAGCTGACTCGGATAATTCAATGTATTATTGAGTTTGCAAAAATGGTAGAAGGTTTTATGCAATTGAGTCAGGAAGAGCAAATTGCGCTACTGAAAGGATGTGTTTTCGAGCTTTCAGCAATTGTCGTTACCAGGCACTACAATCCTGAAACTACCTCGCTGATTCTCAGTCGAGAAGTCTTTCCGGCATCCATTTTTCGACCTAGCGAGCAAGCTGAATTAAATTTTTTTCTCGGAGTAAATTTGCATTTAAAATTTTTTGCAGCAAAAATTTTCATCTCAAGTTTTTTTTTAAGCTTTAATAATTTATTCTTTTTTCTTGGTTTATTCTTTCTTCAATCTTCTTGCTGATAAATGCTAATGAATGCTTCCAATTTGCAGATGCACAGTTGCATTCATGAATTAGCTCAGTTGCGGTTAACGAGCACAGAAATGGGTTTACTTTCCGCTTGGATATTACTAGATCGTTCTTCACTTGGACAATATGTTGTTGAACAATTCAGGAATTGTTTGCAGCAACAGATCGCAGCAAGAGTATATCCTTGAGTCGTTTTTCCGATTACTTTTTTTCTGGTTCTGATTATTATGCATTTGATATTTTGGACATATGCATTTCCATAATTTTACACCAATAACAAATTATTAGATACTGATCATATTATAGATTTTTTAGCCGGCTTATTTTTTGCAGATAGCTGATTCTGGTCCATTGATGCAAAAATTGTGTGAAATAATACAACGCCTACGCGGACATGCTCAGGAACATATTCGTTTACTGGGACAATTATTTACCACACATCCACAAGCAACGGAAAAAGGTGCGCTACCGGATTTATATAAAGAACTCTTCTCACCACCAGCATCCTGAAATTTTAGTGCCAGCAAAATAGCGCCGCTAAAACTTTCATTCAATCAGTGTACAAGAAAGGTTCTTGTTAGAATGTTATTTCTTGCTTCATGGAAGCAATTCATTCCTACTTAGACTGCCTTTCAACGATAAAAATGATAAATAAATTAATATTTTCTTATGGTGAATTCATAAAAAGCTTTCCGGAACGTTCTTTCTCATCGGTGAAAATCTAAAATGAAATCCGGTCTAAATGCTATCATTTTTTATCATTATATTTCAGTTGCGATTCGCTGAGTTGTATAAAAATCGGAGAAATTTCCACTTTGTAAAATTAATCTATATGGAAGTTTTAAAGGAATAGTATTATCACTTAATCTTATGTTTAGTAGCGCTACAATAGGTATGTTAAAGAAACGAAAAATGTTTGTTATGTTCAAAGCAACGGGTAAGACTATTTACAGAAGGATTATTACAAGCGATAAAGGTGAAATCTTTGAAATGGTATAAGATATGCAACAGTACTTTATAATTAACTCGTAGCAGTATTATTGGTGCTCAGTGTAAGTATGGCTTGAGAATAATTACTTAAAAATTATTGCCTCTTTTTATTTGGAAAAATTTCCAAAATCAAATCTTTCATTCATAACAATACCAAAAATTTCCTTATGATTAATTGTCTTTCGATTGATAATTAATTGATATTTGGTTCTTATCATTTTTCTTTTTTTTGAATGAATTGCATAATTTATGAAAAATTGTTTGAATGACGAATCATTTTCTTCGATTAATCCTGAAACTCTGCTATTTGGTTTTAAAAAAATTCCTCAAAATTTATTTTATATTTCAAAAATGAAATTCAGATAACTTCATTTTTCATTCCTGATGATTCCATATTTTCTTAACAGTTTATCTCGAAATACTATCAGCGTCCTTTCTCTCCTTAAGATTTAAGTAACATTTTCGCACGCTTCGAGTTCTAATTACATTACTCACTTCTTAACCCCAAAAATTCATGAAATTTTTAAATTAACCATTTAGCAGAATTTCCTTTATTGACTGTTAAGATGATTAAGTTATCAACTATTGCTTTCATCTTCCCTCAATCCCTCTTCGTTCTCTTCTCGATGCGATCTCGAATTAGTCAAGTAAATATGGTCAAAAGCATCTTGAAATATTTATGTATTGGCGAATATTAAGCAAACCAAAATATTCCACTTATCCAATTACAATAATTCCTCCCGAACTTTATTTTATTTATCTAAGAGAATGTAATGCTGAAGAGTGTATTATTGATTGATAAGAGATAGATTGGCAGGAGTATGACTGATGAAAATTCATTTCATATGTGTTTACGGTTTCGCTCAAAATTCTATCAAATCCTCGTAAAATCTTTCATCATACTCCCCTATTTTAAAAGCAGATCTTCCATTGCAACGTTGTGCAGATCGGAAATGGGTCATTCGGATTCGATTAGTGGAGGATGGTTATAGGTTACGGCTGGCACGAGAACCTCCACCTCTGCTCTTTTGAACAATTTCTCAGTGGAATATTAAATTTTCCCAAATGCTGCTATCATCTCTTTTTCGCTCAATTCATATGATACAATTGTTAAATCTGGACACTGTAGTAATTTTAGTATTATGACGATGTGATGATGATGGCGATGGGATTTTTCTCAAATTGATTAAATTATGCATTTCTAAAAAATTTCAAACTTCGGGGTAGGAGGAAATTTTAAATATTTAGAATTTTATAGATAAAAGAGGTGGCAACATTTCATTTGTTCTTTATTTAATTGAAATATTGTCTCTCATCCTAATTTGTGCAATATATGAAAAATTATTTTTGTTCTTTCCGGTACAAAAAATACAATTTTTTTATTGCATTGCAAAATTTTATTGCAATTTTTTTATTGTATTTCAAATTTATCAATTTTATCATAAAATACAAATAAATAACTTTTCCTTTCCTACTTCTGAAGTTGTTTTTGAAAAATGTTAGGTATTAATGAAAATTGAATGATAATGATTATTTGATGGATATATATGAAGCAGTGAACAAATCCGGAAACTGCAGAATAACTGAATGAATCAGAGGCGGATCGAAACATTTGTACAATAAGCGCAATAGTGATGAAGACGGGTCTAAAAGGATTCAATTATTTTTTTCATTTGAAATAGAATTTAGTTCCTTCAAAGCAAGCCTTAACACATCGAAACAGTCCTCATAAAGACCTTTCATTAATTGTATTGTGAGTGCTATGATGCCTAAAATGTAAATGGTTGTTGTATTTTAACCCAAATCATTCCATTCCGTTGTTTTTGTCTTTTTCAAAGTTCATGAAAATAGCGTATAATTCTTTTTACCACACTTTCTGGTTTCGTTTTTCTTCCTTACTTTATCTATTATTGCCTCTTCGAATTTCTTGGATATTGAAACACAGGGTAACTCATGCTTCATCAGACATTAGGTAAGAAAAAACGAATGCGTGCAAACCACTAGCTATTAATTAGGCTTTCTATAAAAGCGACATATCCAGAATTTTTCTGGATATGGCAATAGTCAGATTTTGAAATTCTGAAAGAGATCTTAAAGCTCTCAATTCCTGGTCTGGATGATGAAATTAAGCAATGGTTGCCTAATTAATTTCTTATCTGATCAACATCATCAAATTAAAGAATTAATTTTAGTACAGATCAAAGATATGATTTGCCAAAAACAAAAAAAATTTCCTTTGTTAAAGTTCCATATATTAGTAACGATGAGAATTCAATTTCTTCAATTTTTCATTTCTTCCAAACAAGTTAAAAATCACCTTTCTGTATTCTGGAGAAACAAAATTTCAAGAAAGGAAATTTATCGGTATATCCCGGACGTTCTCTTTTATATTTTATTGATTTGCTTATATTGTTGTATATAGTTCTTTCAAAAATGCAATGTTCTTTCATTTTACTGATTGGAATGATTAATGATTAAAGTTATTTTGTGTAAATCACAATGCATTATTGCTTTTCTTTTTTTCATATTTTAAATTCTCTTCGTTTATCATTGAATCTTTTGTGACAAATAAAACAATAAATAATAATTGTTTATTACAATATAACTTTTTCATTGTTATTAACATTAATCAATCAATGATTATTTGATGGTATAAAAGATTCGGTTCATTAAAATACCCACCGGAAAATTTCATTATTTCACAAATGAAAAAACAACTTTTTAAATTTCTATGTGATATGGAGATTTTATAGAATCAATATCGATACAAGAAATACGATTAAAATAAGAATTGAAAAGAAGCTCTGCTGAACTTCTGAAGTTTAATTGCTAAATTTGAGAATCTATTCCAAACAATAATTCCGTTTTAAAAGTTTATATTTTTTATAAAAGTTGAAAAGATTATATGCTATTGCTATAAGTGAAGCGATTCGAAGGTATTATGGATATCTCCGATAATGGAATATTTAAATGTAGTTCATTTCGATCATAGCATTTTAGCATTTCATCAAGCATTGCAATTAATGTATCAAATACTGTAACAAATGCCATAGGTCCAAAACCATGCGTTAACTACAAGGTACATATATATATATAAGAACTAAGTGATATTATAAATGATATTAGAAGTGATATTTATTTGAGTAATTTTTATCCAAATTATGAAAATGATTGATTTCTGATGAGCTGAATTATCCTTGAACTATAAATAAAATAACAAATGATTACCAAGGAGAAATGTGCAAGACCATGTTGTATAGCTGGGGCGGTTAATGAATTCGGATTCGATTGATTGTCAAACGTTATCCCGGAATGTTCACCATTGACAATTTCCGATAATTCTTTAATAAATAATCTGAAAAATGCAAAGTAAAATTGAAAACTTTTTTCTCTCTGCAATTCATTCATTGCCCTTTGAACCTTGTATGCTCGATAAAGGTAGAACATTCGCGCGGATCATCCTGCCAAATCATTCGGTTGCAAACAAATTCAGCAATTTGTCGCATAGGGAATGCATTCTCACTAAGTGCCGCAAAATCTTTAGCCATTTGTAATGCTTCCTCTAAAAAATAAGAATCTAATTTTAATTTTTTTCTAGGAATAAGTTTCTAATTATTGATGTCGAATATTAAGAGAGCTTTCATATTGATACATTGACATTTTTATTAAAATAATTTTCTAATTACTCGAATTCAAATTTGAAATCTAAAAAAACTAACCTTCCACTAAGGCTGTCCATGCTGTGACAGTAGCAGCTTTTCGTCGTCCAGCCGGTAATGTTAATCCAACTCGTTTCAAACTATCGCGCAGAGTTTTGCCGCCATCTTTTGATTTAGCTCTATGAATTTGCATCAAAATCATAATGTAGTGCAAAATTTCGACGTTGAATTTTGGTAAAACTTTTTTCGTCGAGATCTTTTGATTATTTAATTATGATATTCAAGTAATAATAGTAGTGCCTCTGCAAAGAAGAACTTACGATATCAGTCATCATTCCATAAAACTAATTACGCTGTTGATTAGACCATAAAGCTAACTTCCTAAACTTCTAGAGTAAAATTTTTGCTAATCAGCTTAGAGAATTCCATCAATTTTTTATTTTTCTTTTTTTAATTTCTACAAACTTTCGTAAAATCCCTCCAAGTAGAGAAGCATTCAGACATTCTGGTGGTGAGATACGCCTATAAATCTCTCCAATGGTGACGTGATACTTTGTAGTGGAACTGAGTAATGACGTTCGGCCAGGTACCGCACAAAATACTTCCGAAGCAAGCACAGGCATACCATGCAGTGATGGTAATGAATGACCAAAACTACCATACATCATAGTACGACTTAAACCAAAATTACAAATTGTTGCTGAAATGAGGAAATTTTGCGTGCAAAAATAAAAACTAAATTACCTGGTATTAATTAAAAATTGCATAATGTTAAAATCTTAAATAAAATTTGTATTTTAAATCAAATACTATGAATGAGAATTTGTGATGTGAAATTCACTAACGTTTTGAATTGTTGAATGGAGGTCGAATGAACGATTCAATTGCATTGAAACCCTAAAATACATTGTTTCAAAAAATTCCAGTGATAGTAATAGTACCAAAGTTTTGAAGAAGTTATTGCTCTATAAAATATTATTAACTGAATAATTATGCAAATGATTGATGCAATAGGTCAGTCAACTTTTGATTTTTGGCTTTATCAAATGTTTCCTAAATTTTAACAAAAAAATGAACAATTAAATAATACCTGCTGATTTATACTTCGATTCATTATTCCGTTTGTTGCTGTGGTAGTTATACCATTAATACATCCGTATGAACTTTCACTACCGCTAATACTATTACCTGGCACCGTGCTACAGCTGACCACATAATGTGAACTGACTGGCATATGTCCAGTGTAAGCTAACTGTAAAGTAGTATGTTAATTGAATAAGGTGATAATATTTACCTGTAATTATCCAAATTGCGTCAGTAAGAAAACGCTTACGCTTCCTTAGATTTTGATTAAATTTCAAGATTTCAAAATTATACCTGTTGGGAATGGTGACAAATGGAACCAGTACCACTTGGAAAACAGCGTGTAGTATTGTTGAAATTAGTGGTAGTATGACCGTGAAACTGGTAACCTATACCAATTTCACCCTCTGGAATACATAATGTTTATTTATATAATGTTTATTTATTAAAAATCTAAATTTAAGCTTTTCCATATTAACAAAAGCATAAATATTAAAGGAATTCAATCATTAAAACAGAATAAGAGAAAAATTCACTTTGATTTTCGTTATTTGAATTCCGAAATAAAGATGATATTGTTTGTACTGCATGAGTTCCAGAAAATGTCTGCAATGAATTATAAATTTTTGAAATGTTCCTGGCATTGTCATGTCCTATGACCTCTCAAAAACCGCCCAGTAATTCAGTAGTGTAAGCTTTCAATGATTTAATGAATATGCCTGATTAAGATTTGCGTTGTTACAGGATTTATCTTGTTCTGGTTCTTCAGTTGTACTCGAATTGTCACCATCGTCATCTTCATCAAAAAAATTGCTTGCTGTATCAAGTTCATCGTCCTCTTCAGATGAAGATTGTTTGCTAGAATATTTCCTGACTTTTATTTCAATATTACATTCTGTTTTCATTTTCAAGCTAATAAAAAAGGTAAAAATGAGATTGATTTTATCCGTATACTAACCGTATTTGCTCCTCTGAAATATCCGAATTAAATGGTAAATTTCGTTTTCTGGAGCAGTGTTTTGCATTGCATTCGTTGTTAGAGCATCGATTCAAAGGCAGATTATTACGTTCTTTGCTGTGATTCTGTTTAGAATCAGAAAAGTTTCGATCACCCATCCGAAAAATTACGTAACGTCGTGATGTCCTAATGAAGTTAGGTTTTCGTATTCCATAGAGTCGTAACACATATCGGACTAAAATTCTAAAACTTATTGGTAGTTTTATCGGCAGGAATTGTGAAAAAAAACGGAATGCTATGAGATGAAATTAACATTTTTCACAACTATCTCTCCCTGCTCTTGTTGTTCATTGGTCGCGAGCATTAAACTGATACCGTATCCTATTCCGAAGTGCTTTAAAATTGATGCAAAAATTACGAGAAAGCTTGATTTCTATTTATATAAATATTAGGATCTATTAGATCATTCAGAGAGGAAAAAAGAGGGAGAGAGAGAGTGAAAGAGTGATATGATAATTTGAATTTCATAAAATTAAAATTTGAGTACTTAGTTGTATTAGTAAATAATTAAACAAACATATAGATAAGAATGGAAGTAAAATAAGATACGGTTATTCATACATAAATAAATGATAGGAGTGTAAAATTAGATGATATTTGTTGTTGAAGTTTCAGAAGAAGTAAATGGATTTTAGAAGGAAGAAAGCTGAATGTTAATTTATGCAAAGATGGTGACAACAACTATAAGCTGGACACTCATATAGATTGGATTAATCTCCCAGAAAAGAACATCACCGCTTCACTCACTCTTTGCAATTAATAAGCAATTTATAAGCTTCTTCTCTTATTTTCTCCAATATTATTTTTCATATTTTTAGCAGGCACACTTACACAAATCTCCTCCTATCTACGGTACTTTATTATTAATTTGAAATAACTCATATGAAATTAATTGAAATCTTTAAATAAATGCTAAATCAAACCTTTTTGATTTAAGATAACATTTTAATGAATTCAAAATATTTGAATGAAACTTTTCTGATTGCTATGATTCGTTTGTTGAATATCTTAGCTATCTTTATTAGTAAAAGAAAAAACTTATAGCACTTTGAAATACTACATTGTATATTAAATGAAATGTAATTTAATATCTCAAATTTCTTTCTCTCTTCACAACCTAATAATAAAAATAATAATTTGAAGAAAGAAACTTTATATAGGGGAAATTGAACAAAGATAGATTCAAAAGCTTCCATGACTAAGACAAATAAATAACCTTAAGGATGACAGTGAGAAAAGGGAAAGAGAATAGATATGCCCAGAAGGGATAATTTTTAAACCTAATTTGTTTGGCGATACTAATTTATTTGGGATACTTCTGATCCGTGGCAAATAATGAAACCTGACAGGTCAATAATTAAGCCTGAGCACATTGTTTATCTCTCTATAATAGAAATATATTAATGTGGCTTCAAACTTCAAAAAAACGGAATCCAAAAATAACAGTATCACACATAAATTTGAATACCATATGGGGCTCAAATAATGTGAATCTGCAGGATAGAATAGTATGTCCACGGGAGCGAGAAGGAACGGAAAACAATTTCTTTTAAACAATCAGTTCTCCCCGACAATTGCTGAAAATAGGCAGTTCAAGATGATATGTAACATATCCCGTATCACAAACTTATTAACACTAACTGTTGATGAAGGCTTACATTTTAGAATATCTACTCACTTATCGAGATTTACTGGTCCCACTAGAATTAAAGCCAATTATATCCTATCACTATTATATCACCTTAATTGTTTTATTTTAAGTTGTATATATTATTTGATAAAGAACTTTGAATTTTTCAATTTTTTTATGAAGTGATTTTGATGTCAACGATGACACAGAGAGTTCATTATATTTTTAATATTAGTGTTTCCATTTATTTCATCTTTTCACATCGCTGACGTTACCATTTTTATACGTTCTTAAATTCATTTCGTAATACTCAATTTTATCTGTCATGCATTAAATAATTATGTTCTTTAAGTTTTCAATTTTATCTTTCAGTTTTCATTATTTTGCGTTATGTCATTGAAATGACAGATATGGAAAATATCTTAGTTATAATCCGATCTTAAATATTTGAATATAATAGGGATTCGTTGAACTATGAAAAATTAAATCATATTTGGCATCACCAGTCATTTTAGTTGTTGTTAGAATATTAGAATAGTTTCTAATAATAGTAAATTCCAAAAGGTTTAAATTAGAACATTTTTGGATTTTCTCCCAATAAATTTAATAAGAATAACAAAGAAACTATTTGTCAATTCGTGAGAACCCGTGCAATTATCAATAGCCGAAATATTTGTTCTGTTTCTTTTCTCACCCTCATTCATTCAAAAAATTATTTCAATTTATTCAAAATGTCAACGGATGAAATCTGATAAATGCGGTAAATGAATAGAACGTATCATCGCCATGTAAACAGATTTCGTATTACTTAAATTGATGGCCTTATCTAACTTCGAGAATTTTGATGATCTTTGTAACTTGCAATTGTTTATTTTGAAATGAAATTCTATCTTGCAAACATTTAGCTTTTTAAACGTCAAGGAATTGGCTTCAGATGCTAACCAAGAAAGCATTGTAACATTTCATGAATTTATGATTAGGCTAAAGCGGTATCCTTCTTACAAAGAAATACAGGCATAGCAATAAACAAATTAAATGAATGAATTTGAAATTTCAGTAGCTGGTAACATTTTAGAAATCATTCTATTTGAACAAACACAAAATATTTTTATTTGAAAGGAAATGATTTTTCTCATTTGTAATTACCAACAGATTGTATTTTGAAATAGAAATTTTGGAGAGGCTAAATCTTTCAATGTCCTTAATCAGAATGTTCTTCTTCGCTTTGCTAAGATAATAATGTAATGATGATACGATTATCAAAGGAAGAACAATAGGATTAACAATGCTCCAGAAAATAAATTGTGAAAAAAAATGATGGAAATGTCATAAAACTTAAATAATATAAATGAAATTCATTACCTTCAACATTTTCAAAATTCATATTGATCGACTAATGTTACTGTTACTTACTAATTTTTTTAATCATCTCGATACTTGATTATTTAATATAATATCTTTGCCAATGCTAAGCATCTATTCAATGTACAATTAATTATGACGATACGATGTATGATCAAGATCGATCTCGTTGATAATAACTAACTGCAAAATTGTGCCGCTTAATACTTTCATCATTGATCAGTTGAAATGATTCAATATAGTAAGTTTTTATCAATTAATTTAGAGCATTAGACTTTTTATCAATTAATTTAGAGCTTTATCAATTAATTTAGAGTCGTTTCAATCTATCCAAAAATTTTCATTACTCTTACTAAATTTAGATTAAAAATTAAAGTGTATGTTTGATGTACTCTATTGAATTTCCTAATAGGAGCGGAAGCACACCTTGTCTTACCTATCTACTACAATAGTATAGCAATCTTTTCTTTTTAGGATTCATTGAATTTTCTATTAATAATTGTAAAATAAAATTGAAAAAGATTTTTACATTTTCTTTTTTGTGTGCAAATTAAAAAATTTTTGTCATTTGTTTTTTTAAATTTAATTAGCAAAAATACTTCTAGCAACTATAATCTAACCATCTAAAAGTTTCAACTTTGACCTAATAGTAACTAAAAGTTTAATATTATTTTCTAAATTTGATGACATAATGAATGGTAACAATTATTTTATCATCTCATTACATTAAATTAACATTGCTGCAGTAATTTCTATCTTTCAATTATTATTGTTGTGAAAAAGATGAAGAAATGTTCGATTATCTTATCTTTACGAGGGATTGAAGGAAAGAAAGTATGAGAGAGCTTTCATTGATTCTGAACTAAAGAAGTGAAATAATATTAGGAAGACGAGAAGAGAGAAAAGAAATGAATAGAAAATTTGAAATCGTTTATTTGCATAAAATTAAATGAATGTTGAATTTTTCTTTTTTTGAAATTACCAGTCGGATATATTATGAAAATGAAAGAATGCTCTTCAATATTGTTTAGTAGCGGTAAATCGAAAGTTATTCGTATTCCAATGTTACTTTAATTAATTTTTTCATTTCTCTTTGATTTTAAAGATAAGAAAAAGCCAGCTAACTATTATATCGATTTTTAGATGATAGCTAAGAAATTTTTGATTTTTTTAATCCAATTCTCAATTTTCAACGTTTTACATTTCATTAAATTTTATTCTGAAGTTTGTAATAATGTAAATATTAAACAAAATAATCTTAAATAATAGTAATTAAATTCTGAGCAGAAGCATTCAAAATAATAATGAATGGCGGCTATTTGTTGGCATTCATTTCCACAAAATCATTCGATGTCCGTCCGATCAGCGATAATTTATTTCTAATTATTTTTTAATTTCCATACAAATCATAAACATATTATGGTGTAAAATGAGCATTTTCATTAACGCTTCTCATCACCCAATTTTGTTATTAGTGTGTCAATAAGAATTAAAAAACATTTTACATTATGATAACCTCTTTTTTTAATGTATTTTATTCCCTTCAGTTAATTCAATAAAATTTTATTTCACATTTATTTTTATCGAAGATTTTTATTCAATTTTATGAACTCGAAGTTGAAATTGTAAAATCTTTTCAATATGTATATTTTTTTCTTCTTGCATTACTAATTCATTTCTATTTTAGCAAATTGTTTGTCCATTTGGAATAGTTTACAAAATATGAAATTCAAAATTCATTACCGACAAATTGTATTTTGGTTATAATTATGGATGAGTGATAGATTTATGATTTCTGTTGCAAACTAGAATTAATTGCATCTTGAATCTTAATTATTTTCTATTGGAATCAAAACTTCAGGATCATCCGCTAACAGTATTTTACATGTCGATGACCTTCAAATACTACATATTCGACCTCGAAATTCAATTCACAGAGACATGAAACGATTTTATGATGTAAATTTTAATAATTTCAGGCAAGTACAAGGAGTAAAAAAAATTAATATTATCGTCGTGAGTGCTCATACGGCTTTATTCTTAAAATTATGGTTTCGTCGTTATCGCGTGATCGTTCTATTGCCGCTAATACCATGCAACTTTTGC